CCCGGAGGGAGGTCAGCAAGGAGCTGATCTCCCTTCCTCTTCCTCCTGACGCCCTCCCGACCCAATCCCGGGCCGCAGATGGGGCAGCGGATCCCGGGATTGAAGGTGAGGGGTCAGGACGGCAACTGGTTAAAAATGTAGGTATGCATCTCTAAATTTCATACATTTTTGTGTTTAAAGAGGATGTAGAGTTTTTTCACACTTTTTTATTTATTCGTTAAAAATGTATTTATATTTCATTTTTATCACTTCCAGCCAGCAGGTGGCAAGTTCCAAGTAAAACATAGAATTTTTACAACACTCAAAAGCCAGCCACAATTGTAAAAAAGAATATTAGGGAGAGTGCAGAATAGGTCACTGAAGTGGGACACATTTTCTTATCTGCTAGTAGGGCAATCTGATCTTGTCATATATACACAAGCTGCAGTTAAGTTTCCAAGCAGTGGTGGGCTTTCTAATTAGAAAGCGTCTTTAAATGTTGTGCTAATGAAATAAAGATTCATATGGGTAATAATTAAAAAATAAGATTTACAAAATCAGTTTATAAAATTGTAATAAGTAGCAGACAGGTACCCTTGGAAATATACAGTAAAAAGTAAATTCTCTATTTGTATGAAAAAGAGACTATGTATTACTTTTATGACTTGCCAGTTATTATTATTGCTTGCTGACATTTCCTGTGAATTTACTGGAAGATAGAGGCAAGCTGCTTCCCTTCCATTATATGCGCGATAGCTTGTAAATAAAAATCTCTCTTACATTAAACTTATGTGATCTTAATAAAGGTCAATGTGGTTTTTTTATGGCTTCTGGGTTAAACTGTAGATATACATTTTATTTTATATTTATATCCCCTAAGGTTACATGATTTGCAAGAGATATTTTTTAGAGCACTGGCAGATAATGAGAAAATTCAAGTGTGCATTACACCATGACTGAAAATTTTGCTGCGCTTCAGGGTAAGAAGCTGGCGAATAGAGGATGAGAGGACACAAAAACCAACAGGGTTGATCACCTTTTATGTATTTATCTTAGATAACGCAAGAAGAGAAAAGCTATCAAGATATCAGACAGGAAAAATACAGGGCAGAGAGTGGGGTACAGACACCAAGCATCTTTAAACAAACAAAAAAAACATTCAACAGTGCACTGCAAAGTGCAATGATATTCTGAAAAGTGCAGTAACCTATAGCAACTAATTAGATCTAGGTTTAATGCAGCAATTTCACTTACAGGATGAATACGGTTTGGTTGCTATGGGAAAATAGATGTTATACCTATATAGTCAATTGCAACAGCTTTATATTGTAAAAATGTTCGACATAAAATAGACACGGTCACTTTGCCCAGTGTCTGCTAACAGCCCCCCACCCTGCCAACAAGGATTACTATCTGATCCATGCACCCTCCTTCCTGCTGCAGGAGTCAATTTTGGTTAAGCCCTTTTATATGTGAAAGTGATTGGCCACTTAGGACCCAGCACTGTAATGTGGGTGAATGTCACATGCTCCCCATATCCAAAAAGCCCCACTCTGTTACAGCAATGGCGCGAGGGCTTCAGCAGAGCACGGAGGTGGAGAAGGAGGTAGTGAATATACTTTGCTGAGGGGAAATTATCAGCAAACACTATCACTTTCACCAGTGGCGTAACCAGAGTTATGGGCGCCCGGGGCAGAACATTTTTTTTCGCCCCCCCCCCCCATATTATAGAAACATCCACTAGAACTGTACCCCCCACCCCCACACATATATATCAGCTAAGGAACTACAAGTCCAAGCATGCCATCATTGTCCCTGTACACCCCCC